CCTTGCGTTAAGTTCACGCAAGGGTGTGCCCCGTTACACACACCAAGAGAGGAAACTCTTCCCCGGGGACAAAAATCGAGTAATACTGAATCGACGAAAAGCCGAACTATCCAACCGAATAACCTCTGGGCGATGATGTCTAAATCAGTATAATGAGACGAATTCAACCAAGAGAGGAAACTCCTCGGCATTTCCATATGTGAAAAGATAGAGCGAATAAAAATGTTATACCATGCTCGATTAAATGACCAACTCAAGGTAGCGTATCAGAATTTGGTATTTGCACCTGATCGGTCGGTGCCGCTATCAATTGATTTGCTGAAGGACGAAGAAGTGAAAGCGCTAAAAGCAGATTTCACTCGGTAAGCATGAATTTGCAGTATAAGGGAGATGATAGTAAGACTGACTAACCACGGTTTAGCCGCAAGCTCGTTATTTGTTGACGCGTCGACTGCCTCGGACTTCTTCACTGGTGACTTGCACGATGTCATTGCGTTCGATGCGCTGGAACATGATGCCGAAGCTGATGGTATTGTGACCGACGACGAAAACACTGTCCGTGAAGACAGTTTTGAAACTTTTGCTGAGATGACAGGTCTCTCGCCAGCTGCTGCTTCGGAGCGTGCATGTGTATGCAGATCTCTTTCATTCTACAAAGTGTTTAGCAAGACCTTTCCGGCATGTTTTTTTTCATCACATTGGATGTTTCTTAACCGGCCGGGCTACTCTACCTAGAGAAAACCTGCTTTGTGGACCAATAATAAAAGCTGTTAAAAACTGGTTGAGTCGATCACAACTGGTAAAACGGTTAAAAGCAGGTAAAAACAGTAAGAAGCTCGTAGACAGTGGTAGTAAATGGTGATAACGTTGAAACTTGGTAAAAAGTTTTGATTCCTGTCAAAAGTCACGGAACTTTACAAGTAACAGCCCTACCCTGGGTGACGGGAACGCCGTCACCGGTCGTCTCTGTACCTAGTTCCTGCTATGCTACGTATGCCTCCGAGTCGCCGGCCCCGTCGCCGCGCCTGATTTCTGGTCCCACGGAGCGAACTCGCCTAAAACGTGATTTGATCGGCCACGTCCCGGTGTGTCAGCGGCCATCGGGGGTAATCGGAGTGGTACATGGCGCTTTCCTCAACTTCAGCGCCCTGTCTGCACCCCGGACAGGATATTCGATTCCACGTACCCTCCGCGGAGAGTCCCCCGTGGTGCCCAACGGATTACGCCTGCAGACTGAGCCAGCAATGAGGAGTAGGAGGCAGTTTAGGTAGATGCGCACCAATATCGTATAGGGCTAAAGCACATGATCGACGTTCTGGTTTTACTACTGCCTCCGCAGTGCATTTTGTAGCCTGGACACTGTTTCTCGCGGGCCGAGATAGCAGCCGAAATGTCAGCATTGACATAGGCGCGTGTGCAGAGATCGCACCGCGCATGAACAGAAAGCGCGGTTGCAGTGGATTGAGAATATAATGAGAGTCCAGCTGATACCCCCGTCCGAGTACCACTATCTCACGCAGTTTCGGACAGCTCTGCCCCGATCTTCCCGCTTGGCTACCTGTTCAATCTGATCCTTACCCACCTTGCCGGCTCCTCGTCGAGTCATTTGCTATTCTGATAAAAATCAGGCCTGTTTCATGTGGAGCTAAATGAATGGCTAAAATCCAGAAAATTAAGGCTTTATACCCTAATGTCTGAACGGGCATGTGTGTTTTACTGAAAGATCTGTTCACTCAGGTCCATTTTATGTATTCGGGTTCGATGGGACTGAAGCTGCCGTCCGTTCGATTACGTCCACAGCGATTTCTAATCCTTTGGAAGCAACGACGCGGGACTCGGCTCATTCACTGAAAAATAACGACAAAGTGGTCTGATGGTGAGACCTCGTCTTTTTCATGTCCTACGTCCTATACGAACGTCAACGCAGTCGCCTCTACGTAGAATATATCAAGATCGCCAAGAGCTAGCATGACGGTGAAAGTGGCTGGTGGAGGAGGAGGACGTGGAAGGGAGAATGTGTGGCTAACCGTCCGACCTGAGGTTGCGACCGCTGCACTGCTTTCGAGCATCGTAGCTTCCTGTCGACAAGCGTGATCTCTTCTGATCGTTTAGGTGTAAGGTGGTGGGTGTTCACGTGACCTGCAACAGACTTTTGTGCGGCTTAGCTTACGGTCTCGCATGTACGACGAAAGAGTGTTCAGTTTAGTAGTACGCGGCGCAGGCTTCGTTTGGGGCAATCCACCACCAGGTCCTACGTATCGCAGTCAAAGCGCAATGGACTGATTGTGAGTGCGTTTTTTCGCAGCTGGCACGTCACCTTGCAAAACGAACATGCTATTCAGTTTAAAGTATAAAATGATGTCTAACATGTTATTGCCATACGCTTTAGGAGGGTAAATCCTAGTACTATACTCCAAGCAAGGGTCGACTAAACGAGTAATAGCAGCGCAGCTTACCCGGCCTATATCTTTGTGATGCCAACCAGAACAATACACATAAGCCTACAGAACATTCCACTGATAGCCTTGGCGTAGGTTGAATCGCTGGAGTCGATACAAGTGCAACTTGCCTCCCAAGACAAAATCGAGCCAGAGTCTGAGCCACTGAGATCTAGCACCAACTGAGCGCCTATCCAGCGTCGAGAGGGTGAAGCAGATGTCTGGTACCATTTTCATTCAAATTGCAAGTGTTCTAGAGACCCGCACGCCACAAGTACTCTTGTTGGGGAGCTGCAGAAAAAACATGCTTGGCCAGAACCTGCCCGCTTGGCCATCTGGTCACCTATCCTGTCCATTGATTCGACGCTAAGCCTGCTCGTATGACATACAAATTGCAAGTGTTCTAGAGACCCGCACGCCACAAGTACTCTTGTTGGGGGGCTGCAGAAAAAACATGCTTTGCCCGAATCTGCCCGCTTGGCCATCTGGTCACCTATCCTGTCCATTGATTCGACGCTTAGCCTGCCAAGATACGTGGCATGGTACCTATGCTTCAAGTAGCAGAGGTACCGTGCCACGTACCTTGGCAAGACGGCCTCCTGCCAACCACTTGAACACTCATCGCTAGCAGCAGCGCAGCTCTTTCACAGTTCCTCACAATTCCATTTGCGGTCAATTGCGCAGTACTCGCTCCAAGCCATTTACACGACGAAACCATGAAGCTCATCCACTCCGTCGCGCTCGTCATGCACGTATCTATCATCCTGGCTGGCCTCGCCTCGGCTTCCGACACGCCGCTCAATGCGCCTTCGAAGATCAACACCGCGCTCTCCAATGAGGGGCAACGTCGTCTTCGTCTCGAGACAGTGGCGGGAGAAGCTCGCGGCTTTGGAGAACTGGAAAAACTGGAGACTGTTGTTGAGGAGACGGCCCCCAACTTCCGAAAGTACGTCCACAAACTAAATGAACCTGATGATGATACAACGGGGGTCGCGGTTGTCCGAACTGATCTTCAAGGTCAAATCAACTAGCTTCGGTTTGGTGACTTCCGAGACTAGCGAGCTGCGACGGATGAGAAGTGGGTTGCATCCACGTCTTTATCAACGACACTGTAGCGCAGACTTGTTTTCGTACATCGTAGCCACACTGTTAAGGTCGAGAGTTCTTTTATCGTTCTACGGCGCACTGACAATTGTTCTTAATAAACCTCTTCCACCCCGAATCGTCCGTATTTGTCAATTTATATCGTGATCGCATACCTTATTGGTGTTTGATCCTCTCGAACAGGCGACGGTGGTTTGCTAGCAGCAATGCCGTCGGGCAAGGACGCGCCATGTATCAATGTGAGGAAGTACTGTTGAAGCGCTGATTAGTCCCTCAAAAGCTGCACTTTAGTCTTTTCGTCTTGCTTATTAGTTGCAGCCCTAAGTGCGTAGATCGCTCGTAGTCTATGCGAGTAGAACGAAGTTGCGTCGTCAGCAGAGCCCGGAGGGTATACGAATCAGTGTTTACTCGCTAGTGGGCAGTAACGCAAAGCACTCAACTAAGCTGTCAGACTCGACGACTATTTGGGCCTTGTCTCGGCGATCCACCTGCTCAACTTGGAAGGAATAAACTTGCAACAGCTAGAGAACGTCGTGTCTCGCTCGAGGACCTTCGGGCCATCGCTCACAGCGACGTGTGTTTTCTCGAGACAATAGCGAAGAAGCTTTCCATCGGCCTGTGGTTCCCTACAGAAACTCATTCGCGCGATAAAGAGCGTCCGCCACATGCTGGTGACGTTGTTGTCAGTATCTCAAGCCACACAAGTGACTGATTTCGTGGCCACAGTGCCGACAACGGAAGACACTCTCCGTATCCCACCGTCGCAGTCATCCACCCAAGCAACGACCTCGTCATCCACTACGACCTCGGGCCCGCCCGGCGTCGCTCTGCTCGGGTCTGCAGCGGAAGCAAAGCCATCGTGATCAATCCGTCGCACGCCAATGCCCGCCGCCCCCCCCTCTTTCCCCTGCCTCGCGACGTGCATAGCGCCGACGGCAGCGCCCCATTTGCGCAAACACACCGACTCCGGCACGAGTCGCACGCCCCCCGTCCCCCGTCCCCCCGTCCCCCACGTCCTGTGTGCTCGACCCATTTTCGGACTCGCGCTTTCCCTCCACAGCCGTAGCGTCCGTCCGTCCGTCCGTCCGTCCTACTACAACCACTTCCTCAACAGCGTCCAGAGCTCCTCACGACTTGCTCACTTGCTCGCGCCATGAGCGACCACGCCCCCCCCCTCCTCCTCCTCCTCCTCTGCCTCGACCGCGCACCCCATGAACGTCATTGAAAAGATCCTGTGCCACCACGCGGTGGGGCTCACGGCCCCGCACGTGCGCGTGGGCGACGTGCTCTGCGTGAAAGCCGACTGGACGATCGCGAGCGAGCTGACGTTCCAGACGATGGACACGCTGCACGCGGCCATTGGGCGGCCGCCGCTGCACCGGCCCGACCGCTTCTGGCTCGCGCTCGACCACACGGTCGACCCGCGCGTGAACCACTTGCCCAAGCAGAAGGCGCTCATTGAGCTCTCGACGGCCTTTGCCCGCACGCACCACGTCACGGACTTCCAGCCGCCCAACACGACCATTATGCACACCGAGTTCGCCCGCAAGCGCGCGCAGCCGGGGCAGATCATCATTGGCGCCGACAGCCACACGTGCAGCGCGGGCGGCATGGGCGCGTTCGCCGCCGGCCTCGGCGCGGGCGACGTCGTGCTGCCGCTCGTCACGGGCCAAACGTGGTTCAAAGTGCCCGAAGTGTGCTTCATCGAGTTCGTCGGGGCCCCGCGCTTCGGCATGGGCGGCAAGGACGTGATCCTGCACATCCTCGGCGAGCTCAAGCGCAACACTGTGGCGTTCGAGCGCGCCGTGTACTACGGCGGCGCAGGCCTTGCACACCTCTCGGCCGACGCGCGCTTCGCGGTGGCCAACATGACGACTGAGTTTGGCGGCATTGCTGGTGTGTTTGCGGCCGACGCCGTCACGCAGCGCGAGCTCGCGGGCCGCGCGTCGCACGTGGACGAGGCGCTGTTCTTCGAGCCCGACGCGCACTGCGCGTACGCCGCGCACCACGTGATCGACTTGGGCGACGTGCAGCCGCTGATTGCGCTGTACCCGTCGCCCGACCACTGCGTGCGCGTGGCCGAGAAAGTCGGGATGGCGCTCGACGGCTGTTTCATTGGCGCGTGCACGACGACGCAGGAGGACCTGATCTTGGGCGCGCTCGTGCTGCAGCAGGCCATGCTCGAGGGCAAGCGGCCGTCGGCCAGCGGCCAGCGCCGCGTCACGCCCGGCAGCGTCGAGATCATTGCTACGCTCAAGGAGCTCGGCCTGCTGCGCATCTACGAGGAGGCGGGCTTTACTGTGGGCGTCCCGGGCTGCAGCTTCTGCGTGGGCATTGGCGCCGACGTGGCGGGCGAAGGCGAAGTGTGGCTCTCGAGCCAGAACCGCAACTTCCGCAACCGCATGGGCCGCGGCTCGATCGGGAACATCAGCTCCGCAGCGGTCGTTGCGGCCTCGAGCTTTGACATGCGCGTCGTGGACCCGCAGCCGTACCTCGACCAGCTCAGCCGCGAGGACTTTGACCGCTACCGCAAGTGGGTCGCGCCCGACGCCTCGACGTCTGCTGAGTCGACTACGGCCTACACTGTGGCCGAGCCGCAGCCCGTGCTCGCTACGGGCGACGACGACGAGAGCACGCAACAGGCCACGGAGCAGGCGGCCGTCGCGGAACTCGAAGCAGCGCTGCCGCCCAAGTTTAGCGGCAAAGTGCAGCGCTTTGGCGACAACATTGACACGGACGCAGTGATCCCGGCCCAGTTCATGGGGCTCAACAAGGCATCGCCGCTGTGGCCGGCCGAGTGCGAGACGGAGCTCGACGTGCTGGCTGCCAAGTCGTTTGCCTACGTGCGGCCCGAGTTCCCGCAGAAGGTCAAAGACGGCTTCAACATTATCGTTGCGGGAACGGCCTTTGGCAGTGGGTCGTCGCGCGAGGAGGCGGCCATCTGCCTCAAAGCTGTGGGTGTGCAGGCCGTCATTGCCAAGTCGTTCGCCTACATCTACGCGCGCAACCAGCCCAACAATGCGCTCTTGGGCATTGTCGTGACGGACGAGAAGTTCCACGAGCTTGCGCAAGAGGGCGAAGAGGTGACGGTCGACCTGCGCAACCGAGTGGTGAGCGTCAAGGACCACCAGGTCGCGTTCTCGCTCACGCAGCTCGAGGAGGCGTTCCTCAACGGCGGGGGGCTCCAGGCTCTCTTCAAGCGGCACAAGGCCGACCTCTTCCGGGCTGCCATGCGTGGAAAGGCGGCCAAGCCAATCTCGTCGAGCGGCGTCGGCTGTGGCGATGGCTGTGGTAGCGAGGCAGCGGCCACGCCTTCGTGGTAGGCGCAAGTGGTCTCGGGACGGCCAGAAACGATCATAGAGGAATACATGCGCTGTTTGCGCGATGCTCTCACCATCGAGATCTGTTGGCACTATCTGTCTGGATATACACTTATCCGATATGGTCTCACCGTCGAGCTCTGTTGGCACTTCCTATCTGGACACACATATCCTTTGTAGCACATGAATCTCCGATGACTGACGTTGTTGCTTTGTCCTCCAGTTACGACCGGACTGACTAACTGCGCTGATTGTTCTTCTGGAAACACCAGTGAGACTGGAAATCACAGCGATGCTTGAGGTGTGCACCACTAGCTCAACAGCAGCATATCCACTCAGACGATCACGCCCCGTCCGATTGAGCAAGCGGCAAGGCAAAGCCGCTGTTTCGGAATGAAGTTTCGCTACGGCCGAGCGAGTGTCTGTCTGATTAGCACGTGGGTCGTATCGTAAGGTATTCGGAATCAGGAACGGACACGCGGCCTCTTGCCGTACGAGAGGACCAGTGGTGACGGCAGCATCGATTTCGATGGCGTTAGCGGCAAATGTGTGTTTCCGGATGCGGACCGACGGGATCGTGCATTTGCCACGTGTCACGAGAGCTGATACAAAGTGGTCGAGTGGATGTCTGCACTATCACAAGCTCTCGATCACTGGAAGCAAAGCATCGCTCTTTTCAAGCACCAACACCACCTGCCAATTCGTGTCGTTTTCGGACCGATAATGACATTGCAGCTCTATGCTGTACCAAAGCCCGCGCATCAATGCGAGAGGGTGTAAGTTTGTCCACCTGCACACTTCGATAGTAGATACAGCTCATGCTACACGTCGACATAAGATGGCCACATGTGTCTCCCAAGTCAGTGTGCGAGTCATTTTGACTAGCAAGCTCGTCTCGAGAAGACTCGTGAGCTACTGCAGGTGTCCATGACCCTCGTTTCAGCCCTGTGACCCGCAAGCTTTGCACCTTAGAAATAGTAAGTTTTCATCACGTACGTCGATGGAAGAGAACATGAGTGCGTCAATCTTGGATCGACAGTTGCTGCTAGAGCTCTGTTAAAGAACCAGCAGCAAATGAGACGGTCCTTGCTGGCCAGTGCCAAGTTTGTCCTACGCGCTGCTCGTGACGCTATCGATGTATCGATCGCATACGTATCGCTAGTGTGACATCTTGCTGGACACATACGCACTTGCGTGTGTCGAAGGGACGGTAGCGAAATGGACATGAGTTTGGCAAAATGACCACATCTTCATCCTTCAAATCGGTTAAAAGATATTTATGACCAGTTCACGTCCTATGCTTCTCACCTTCGGTGTCCCCACTATCTAAACTGGGCACGTCTTCTTCTACGTTGCCAAGCACGCTCCTCCTCTACTTGCTGCGTCCCAAATCTTTGGCGGTGCGGTGCGCGTGCAAACTCCACTCCATCTTTGTCTGGGTCACTACGCAACACACAACGTCGAATAAGTACCACTCGCCTGTCCAACGTTAGAATGCAGCAAGCTCACGAACCGGGCATCACACGACGCATCTCCTTGAACGTCTCCTCGGACATGTTGATGTACATGTCTTCGAGATTCATCTGCAAATCATCCTCTGCCTCTTTCATGACACGCAAAAGAGCATCACCCAAACCGCCAGGCTGTTGAATCGTGATCGCCTCTTCAACGTCCTTGGAGCTCTGTAGCTGCAAGTTCCCATTCTCAAAGTAATGCACATGCAGCTCAATGCTGCCCTTCACCGTGCCCGGGTCGGCAGTCAAGTCCACTTCCCACCGCGACTTCCATCGTCCTCCCCAAAAGTTGCGCAAATTCACCCGCTCCGTGCACAACTTCACCACCAACTTGGTGCCCACCACGTACACACCAGCAGTTCCTCTTCACATCGCAACAAACATTCCCGTTACCACAAAGCATTTCCTCGTTCATTCGTTTGGTCTCGTACCCGTTCATGTACTCGAACTGCAGATACGATTGCAACGCCTTTTGCACCGCTTGGCTAGTTCCACACACTTTTTTCGTTATTCTCAGCTTCGAGTCATGATCCAAAACTATACGTTTCCTCTCAGGTTCCGCACCGCTCGTGTTCAAAGTCGGTAATCATTGCCTCGGGGAGCTCCGCAACGTCTTCCGGCACAACTTGCTGCTTCATGTGGTCAAATCCAAGCACGCGGTTTCCAATAGGGTCCACATAGTGCGTCGCGTCGACTTCTGCCTCTTTGCAAATCAATATCTACACACCACAAGTCGATACAAATGCATAACAACAAGTCTACTACACTGTACATCTATCACATCCTCTTCCTTCAAATGACTGACCACACCTTATAATCGGCATCCGGTACGTCGACAGGGATCGAAGTTTCCACGTTGTACGCCTGCAGCACTTCCCGCAGAGCTTCGTCCGAGAGCACGTGCGGCGGTACGATCTTCGCCACGTCACGCAGCACCTCGTGCGCCTGTCCCGGAGGGCTGTCGAGTATGAACCGCTGCGCAATCTGCAGCTTCTCCTCGTCCGACGCGCCTTCGTGGACCCACTCGTCGGCCATTCTGTCGTCCCGTTGAATATCTCCGCACCTGTCGCGGGCTGACTGACCTCTGACAGTTGATACGTCGTCGACATATCAACTGTGTCAGTACCTCCACAACTCCATTTTGTTTAAAACGCCCCATGGAAACCCCAAGTGTCCGTGTGCTCGTCGTGGGGGACTCGGGCGTGGGCAAGACGACGCTCTTGCGGTCGCTCTGCCGCCCGCAGTCGCGCGTGCCGGCGAAAACACTGGACAAGCCGCCGACCACGTGGACCGCAGGATGCGACGTCCACGTGCTGCTCAAGTCGCTGGGACCCGACGGACGCGACGTCTTTGTGGAGTTCCTCGACGTGGGCGGCCACCGCCAATACGAACGCAGCCGTCGGGCGTTCTACGTCGACGTCCATGGCGTCCTGTTCGTCCACGACCTGAGCAACGCCAAGAGTGGGGACCACCTGAGCCAGTGGAGTAGGGAGCTGAGTGCGGTCCAACGCGCGAAGGGCTGTGTCGTGCCCTCGCGAACGGGCAAAACGCATGGGGACGTGCCGACGTTGCACGCGCTGCCGAAGCTCGTGGTCGGTAGCAAACGAGATCTGGTGGCGGCCAACGGGGCAGCGCGCGCGGCGAAGCGGATCGATGTGGTCGACGGGCGGCCCGTTTCGTGCCTGGAAGCGGTGCGTGTTTAAAACACGTTGGAGCCGTTAGCGTGCTCTATTTTAACGTGAGCACAGACTGTACCTGACGATTGTTTCTCGGTGTATGTCATGTGCACAGTGTGCAGAGCCTTTGGCGATGGAGCCGAGTGGAGCGTTTGATGCGTTTCTTCGGCAGACAGTCGCGTTTGCTCATCGAAAAGACGCTGCAACAAGTCATAGCAGCTACGACCAGAGCAGTACGGGGCTTCGACAGCTGAGTAGCCGCACAGTCGACGCGGAGGAAAGCAGACCGAAAGGTACGGCAGAGTCCGACAGTGCTGTGGACGTGCTGCCGCTATTGCCCACGGACACACGCTCAGCCTGGTGGTAGAAGGGGGAAAGAAGAAGAAGAAGAAGAAGTAACAAGTTGGTATGCCATGTTGTCTGATGTACAGATGTACCCATACTACGTACACGATGGGAGAGGTATAGCCCCACGACTGCGACGTCAACACTCGCGGTCTTACGAGCTGTCTCCTGTGCTTGACCTCCGCCTGTCTGCAAGACGCGGGACTGAGTGCCCACGTGAGCTCAAAATTCAACCGACCCGCGACTTGTAAAGGAGCAATTGCGATCGCGTCTCGCCGCCCCGTTGAGCGTCGTGTGCGATAAGCCAATAGCACTGTGAGGCGTCGAACTTCTGTCGCGTGCGAACGAGTCGGTGCTCTGTCCGTCGTCGGGAGTCCGTCTCGTGCCGACGTCGCGGTCAGGTGCGCAGCTGTTTGGGCCGTGTAACAGACGGCCTCTCGACGCGACCGTTTCGCTGCCCATTGTCTCCGTCCTCCGCCCCATTGCCGCCACACGACCTGAAAGTAACGACATCTCGTCCGTCGACTGTGTGGTTGACGAGGCCGGAGACAAGACGCTCCCTGCTTCGACCCCGACGCCTCGTAGCGGGAAGGCCGAAGCAAGTGGCCTTCGGGCACACTGCGCTGCTGCACCTTTTGCGGCGCTCTCTACAGATGGGTACGCAACCGCATCGGCTGCGTCCACACTGACGCGCGCGGGCTGTGTAGGAGCGACGAAACGACCGCTGCGGTTGTTCCGACGGACCTGACGCCGACTCGGGTCGTGTTCGGGACGAACATGTTTTGGATTACCGGCGTCGGTGGCGGCCTCCTGACCTGCTGTTTGACCTGCTGCAGCTGCTGCTGCTGCTGTCTGGCCGAGTGACTGACGCGGCACCGGAGGATGCGAAGCGTCAGCGCGCTGCAGCGGCGCGTGCAGATGGGGCGGCGCGCTTCGGTACCCATTTGCAGCTCCCTTCGGTCCAAGTTGCGCTCGGTTTGACTGGAACGCAGTCGTCACTTGCTGTGAGTACTCGTTTGCGGGAAAGCGGTACCCACGTGCAACGTCAGCAGTTGTGGTATCCACGACGCATTCCTGCGTCTGTTGACGTAGCTGTTGACGTTGCTGTAGTTGTTGCTGCTGTTGTAGCTGTTGACGTTGCTGCTGCTGTAGCTGTAGCTGTACTTGTTGTTGTACCTGTAGCTGTTGCTGCTGTAGCTGTTGCTGCTGTACCTGTAGCTGTTGACGTTGCTGCTGTTGTTGCTCTAGTGCAAGTTGCCGACGGGCTTGCATTGTCGCCAATGCCTCTTGGTGCCCTTTTCGCTTGGCGCGTTGCATGCACACGCAGCAACAGACGAGCAGCAGGAGGATGAGAAGCACTACGCCGCCGATAACGATCCACCAGACCCAGTCATCCCACTGCAACGCGCCTTTGAACATCGACTGTTGGCTCGCCATAGCAGCCACAAATGAAGCAAATGGGTATTTGTGCTAGTGAGTGAATGGATCAGAAGGTCGAGGACCAGAAATGTCTGTTTACGGTGTGACATGATCGTCTGAGACAAGGCTTTGCAGCGTGAGCAAACAAATGATGTGCATCTGATTCGCTCGTGTCAGTTGTTTCTGAGTTTCGGAAGAAGTGACCAAAGCGATAATCTCGCTGACGGCAGATAGCAATGTTGCGTCTATCGTAAATGCTCCATGCTGCAATGTCATATCAGCACCGACATCACCACCACACTATGCAGCTTAGTTATGCGGCAGCCATAACGTCCCATTTGCGTTGCGTACGTTGTTCACGTGCCATCCACCTTGTGTGTCTGCAAGCATCGACGCAACTCCTGCAATAACACCAACATAGCGCCAGCAGGTCTCCTGTATTTTGTCTGCTTTAGCTATCTTGTATTTTCGCTGTCTTATGCTGCATCAAGTCGTTTCTTGAACACACGCGCCTCATTGACACAGCGCTGTCAAATTCCATATGCATTCTACGATGCGCTAAGGCGCCAACACCGCATCTGCATCATTTCGAACCAATAAGGTATGACTAAAAAGAAGGATAAGCACCGTTACCCTATAATGCAACATCATACGAAATAAAAAAAGTCGGGGCATGCTTAGTGCGTGAGCCCACCTCTTCCTCCATGGACAGCCTATCGACGGGTACATGATGGAAAATATTACAAACTGGTAGAACAAGACATGATTGGGGATACGCGCGAATGCATATGACATATCTCGGCATGAGCATATTCAGTCTAAAAACCAGTACTTTCGTGCTTCATTTTTTGTGATGTAGTGCATTTCTTGTATTTTAACAATCACTTGAGCGAACGGACGCAAGCGCATTGACAGCCGTACGCACATCACAGATGGAGAGGACAACTAACTAGAGCGAGCATAGGGGCACACGTAACAACACGACGCACATGACGCTCGATCCAACCACGTTTGACGGCACTTTGTAGCCTGGAACGTTAAGGAATGATCGCGAAGGTGAGCTTGTCAATGCTGTCGGCGACATGTCATCCAACTCAATCGATACAGTGTTTCTTTTATCGCTCTCAACGACATGGACTTTGCTTCTGATGTGAGAAAGTAGTAAGCCGTTCAGACTGAGAGTTCAGCGTCGCAATTTAGGTGCATGCAATCTGCCGATCGCCCTTTCGAATCAGCAACAGCCCTCTACATCTTGCATAGCTCCGTTTCGACTTGAATGATGGGTGATAGGCGCTCAGTGTTTCAATCTCCAGTCCTTTTCGGGGACAGAGTGAGAGTCATCGAAGGCAATGAGTGACCGACCACACATAAACACAGCCAGAAGCATTGTGTTGGCGGCGCGAAGCGCATACGACAGCAGTTGGATGGCTCGTACAAAAAAGAGCTGTCTCCAATGCGTACTTAGGTAGCGTGTCCGACGTGCCTCGACCCTCTCATTACTAATAACGTCCGGCAGAAGCAGCAGCCGTCTCGCCAGCGTACCACACTTTCGGTCCACGTACCACTGGGCGACCCGCGCGCCACTCATTCCGCTTTGCCGCCTCCTCCCGAGTCGTCGACATGGCCGACGCCGCTGCGACCGCAGGCACGAAGCTCGACGCTTCAGCCATTGCCGCGCCGTTTAGCTCCGCCGTGCGGCAATACATTGAGCGCGACATGGGCGGAGTCGGTCCGAAGCTCGTGGGTCTGCTCGCGCACGGCGATCCTTCTGCCAAGAAGTACGCCGAGTGGACCGGCAAAGCCTGTGCCCGCGACGGCATTCGCTACGAGCTGCGCGAAGTCCCGAAGGACGAGCTGCTGGCGGCATTGCAAGTCGCCAACGCAGACGCAGACGTGCACGGCATCCTGGTGTACTACCCGTGCTTTGGCGCGTTTCCCAGCTTCTTTGGTGGCTCCATGGACGACTTTCTCCGCGACAGCATTAGTATCAAGAAAGACGTGGAAGGACTGGGCCAATTCTACCGCGGCAACTTGTACCGGAACATTCGCTACGTGGACGACGAGCAGACGCAAAAGTGCGTGCTGCCCTGCACGCCGCTGGCGATTGTCAAGATATTGGAACACGTTGGCATCTACGACAAGGCGCGAGCGACCAACTCGGGCAATCACTTGGCAGGGGTCACCATTACGGTGATCAACCGCAGCGACATTGTTGGTCGCCCCTTGGCGGCCATGCTGGCCAATGACGGGGCGGACGTGTTCAGCGCCGACATTGACTCGCTCTACTTGTTCCGCCGCGGGAAACTCATTCCGAGCGACGAGACGCCCGAGACAGCGTGCAGAAAGTCCCGTGTCATCATCACTGGCGTGCCGGCCAAGAGCTACAAGCTGCCGCTCGAGTGGGTGAGCGAGAACACGGTTGTCATTAACGTCGCGTCGTTCAAGAACGTGGACGAGGCCGGGCTGCTGAAAATCAAAGGCGTGCAGTACGTGCCGCTGGTGGGTAAAGTGACGGTGGCGATGCTCGAGCGCAATCTTCTACGCCTGTATGAGAATTTCCACTGGAAGCCGAGAAAGGTGTGGCAGTAAACGATAATGTGTCGACTGTTTTGCAGCCAGAGCGTCTTTGTCATTGCTATGCGTAACAAGTGCATTGGCTTTCGACGGTATGGACATCAGTCTGATTTTTACACTCGCGCTGAGAGGCTGCACGGCAACAACTACTTTCGAAGGGTTACTTACTCGCCTTGTCTTGCCGCTTGGATGAGCGATGTAGGCATTGTACTCAATACACAACTGATCTTGCACACTGTTCTCCAACTCGCTTCATAACGGCATCTGATGTGTGTAACAGCACACTATTGTCGACCTTTCGTCCCTTTTTCAATGCAATGCCGAAGCAGTCGGGACACTGTCTTTGCCCCATGGCAAACTGCTATATGGGAGACTACACACCGTGCCGCCCCATCAATCTTTTCCTAATCGGAGCATAATGCTGCAAACCGATCTTCTATGTCATGATGTTTGCACCTAGGGTCGCTTCGTGCAAGACGTATTGCCTCTTTCAAATGCTGAGACTATGCTAGGAAGCGTCAACATTTGCTACGACTAGCTTCGTGGTATTGTCAATTTTGATAGAGCCATAACGACGTCGGCATAACTACAGTGTCCTTCGCGCGCAGCGTGAAATTACACGACCAGCTTGGCATGGACAACAATGCCACTTTGTTTTCGACGAAGCCGCAAGAAACCAGATGCATCCGTGCTCTGTCAGATTTGAGTGTGTATGGTTCTTACAATTACAGCTGGATGATATCTACTTACAATGTTTATGCTAAGTGACAGATCAATGGTAGCGATACCCACAACCTGTATTGAGCTACGAATGTGCATGGTCATTAGCATCGGTAAGGTTGATCACCATCAGTGGCAAGCTGATGCATCTTGTTCTCATCACTGCAAGATGATCCATGGTCCTTTTAGTTGTTTTTGGGCTACAGAAGACAGACGAGTGAAACGATCGTCAAACTTTCGTGCCAAAGATGTCAGCGACTTCTACGTACGACTAAAATTGAGCTGACAAGTTGTGGCTTGCGTGACGAGCACCGTAAATTGTTTTCATTGACAATGTAACGATTTTCCCGACTGGTGCGCTCGAGGACACTATAGGAGTAGAGCCTCTGCAGATCATTGACGGGGCAATCGAGCGAGCACAATGCACCTTTAAAGCTGCAGGACCGAGGAAAGTACGTTCAACGAGACGTGATCAGTCCATGCCATTTCGGATGCTAATAGCGCAATTTGTTCTTCATTACTCGATAGTCGGGTTGCTCAAGCATGTGTGCAAAGAGCTACACGGACAGCTGATCATCTTGATGCGGCAATGCTGTCACATCGTTCGACATGGATGTTTATTCGAGATATGATCTAATTATGAACGGTGACAAGCTGACGCTGTATAATTTGGTTCACCCGACTATTCCATCGGACCATGTTCTTTGTAAGCAAGTTGAGTCGAGGAAAGACGTTTGTAAACGATACAGTCTATCGCGGGTCGTGAAGGATGTCGCTGCGATATACGGGTTGGGCTTCAACGTGAATTTGCTTGGCGCATTTTTATTCGGACAAGTACACGTATAGGTTCAAGTAGATGTGGAGGCCTATACATGTATTAGTGCCGATCAAGTATGGGAAAGATGAGGCTAGCGCTCGGACCGCTATGGAAAGGAAGCGGTATATCGTATTACAATATTTCGACTCGGTACCTGTCTTCGTCATCAAGGCTCACTTCCACCTTATGTTGTTGGTCAAATATGTATGTTAAGATGTACATCGAGTGAGTTCCTTCATCAACCTTTGAGAGCCAAAGAGTAGGTCTGCGTAACTTGAATGCGCGTGATGCGTAAGACGCAACTTTGCGGTGTGCACCGGTATAACGGTCGAAACAGGCTTTGCACTGGACGAGCCGGTGGTCTGGTATGCACGAATGGCTGAATAATATAGCTTTGGCGTCAGCCACTGATCCGATGCAAACGGAACGACTTAAGCCTCCGGAACGAGATTCAATTTGCTTGAACATCAGTATAGTGTGACCTGTAGACATTTGCTAATGCATGGCACTCAAATTGTTGAGCACCCAACTTCGTGTCGACCCACATCGCTGCACTAAATACTACAAAGCCACACAGCGCTTGATTGTTCATCGGTGGGAAATTGTTAGCTCCATGGCCGAGCTCTAAATTATTCCTACGTAAACTGCATCCTTTACCTTCCGTCAGCAATGGATAGATATGTGGTCTAGTGGATCAAGCACGCGTGACGATATGACTCAAACTTGCAAGTAACGTATTGAAAGTTTCATTTGCAACAGCGTTGATTTGCCCTGTAGCTCACTGGGTCATGTCGATGAAATGACGGGCTCGTTGACGTTAACGATCGTCGACATGGGCATTATGCTAGAATTTTCACTGCCTACATACGCGTGCGAGCCTCAGCTGCAGCCGGTGTACGACAACTGTCGAAGGCTGATTCGCTGTGACGAGTAGAGCGAGAAGGCGAACGAGATTGACCAACAAGTGCCTTTGGGTATCACTACGATTGAGACGTCAGAATGGGCTAGCAACGCGCGCATCTCTGCGAAATGTGAAGGTGACGTGTCGTGGAGAGAATGAGCAACCGATGATCGGTGAGCTCGATGATTCGCGTCGCAATGCGGGGCGGCAGGTGCTCGTACGCAAAACGGCCTTGTGCTTTCTTTCCTTGTGGAACCGATATGCGGATAATACACGTCATATACGTGCTTGAAGCTACGATAGTCTTGCATTGTGCTGGAGCTGTTGGCAGCCGCGGAAGCACAGCTACATATCGGGGCCGACTGTGTCTATTGCTCGACGCTATCATGGATTATCCCATACAAATACATACGTGACAGCCAAACGCGCACGTTGAAACACGATGGTGCAAAACGGTAGCGAGGCGACGATTTACCCTGATGTTGCCCTTGTTCTCCTCCCTCACCTAAATCTCCTCAAAAAAATCACGCCAACACTCTGTTAGTATCTGCCCCGGCACAATCTCACTGGAGAAACCGACAAATCTTTCGCCAATTTCCATCTGTCGCCACGACAAATCTGCGGCTCTGCGTTATTCTCCTGTTTGTTTTAAACATCCGCTCGGAGTCCACCTGATCGGCCATGAGCAAAAGTCCCCCTGCCCCCCTTCGGTGGGGCTTCCTCGGCTGCGGCCGCATCTCGTCGGACTTTATCAACGCCATCAAGTCTTTTGATAGCCTTGTGCTTCAAGCTTGTGCTGCACGTTCCTTACCGAGTGCCCAAGCCTTTGCCAACGAGCATATGGTCCACGAAGCGTACGGATCCTATGAAGCTCTTGTTGCAGATTCTCAAGTAGATGTCGTCTACATTGGCACGCTCCACCCGTGGCATTATGAGCACACAATGCTGGCTTTGAAGCACGGGAAGCACGTGCTCGTGGAAAAGCCCATGACCATGAATGCGGCTCAGGCGTCATCTGCAATTGCTCTTGCACGAGAGGAGCAATTGTTTCTCGCTGAAGGCATGTGGACTCGGTTTTTCCCTGCTGTCCGCTACGTTCGCCAACTTTTAGTGGACAAGGTGATTGGGGACGTTCACCACGTGCATGCTGCCTTTGGCGTCCAGTACGAACGGGACAACGTCCGGATGTGGCACAATGAGCTTGGAGGGGGAGGTCTTCTTGATATTGGCATTTACCCGCTCGCGTTCGTCACAATGGTCTTCGGTGCACAGCCAGACAACATCGTATCGGCTGGCAAGCTCAATGACGGGCAAGTGGACATTTATAACTCTGTCACGCTCGAGTACAGCAACCTTCGCTTCGCTACTATCCAGTACACAATGCTAGCTACGTTGGATGAGACCGTCACTATCACTGGCAGCATGGGGCGCATTCACTTGCCTGCACCAGCTCACACGGCAAACGAAGTGAGAGTGATCAAATACCAACCAAATGGCTTGGAGGAAGAGACTAGGTCTGTCTTCCCGTGGCCAACATCGGTTCCAGGCGCTACGTTCAATTACGGAGGCTCAGAGGGATTTTTCTACGAGGCCGAAGCTGTGATCAACGCTGTACGCAACGAACAGCTCGAGCTAGAGGAGTATCCGCTTGATGAATCGCTTCAGATTATGACCATAATGGACAAGATCCGCTCCGACTTGGGGCTTGTCTACAGTGCGGACCTCAATTGAATATCGTGTAAGTCGAAGAAGGCTTCACGATATGATAGCATTATCGTCAGGTGGTTTTCCAAAATTTGTAGCTCATATTGCTGACTAAGTAGTAATTGGAAAAAAAATATGATTCATCCAGGCATAGTGAGTCACCGACTGACAATGTAACGTTGCGTGGCTTTCAGCAGTAAGCAATGTAATGCAGCTAAGCATCAGCTGGCAACGTAGGCAAGAGCGACCAATCGCCTGCAGTTTTGATAGCAGTCAGTCGTTCCATTATGATTCAATCATAATTCTGCTGAAGGGGCCAAATGTGTCAAGCACGGGCGAGCGATCACACATCCTGCGTGGCATTTTCCATTCAGCGTATACGCTCATCGATGAGATACGGAAGAGAAGCAGATCAATCGACAAGTGCCCTGTTTTTACGATGTGTGCATAATTTGCGCAGTAGCCGGTGGGTTTTCGACGTCAATGTGTGATGACGATTTATCGGCCAGTGGCAAGATTTGGCCACATAGTGCTGCAGATTTAGAAACGAATTGCAAGAGTGAGAGCTCTTGGCGCGTCCTACCACTTGCGTTAAAGCTGCCTTATAGCCTGAAAATTGGAAGGTCTGGGTGATCGCAAACGGTGTAACGGGGTTACACGTCGACTGGTAGTCGACAATAGGTGTGGTGCACACAAGGCATGGGATCCCCTTTAAAGTGATATCAGAACACAGAATCAATTGTTGAAGACTGATATCTGTCAACTATTGATTGCGAGATCTTTTGAGAGGTTTATTTAGGACATTAGCGAGTAGGTCAATTACTTTACTCTAAGGTGTTCTTTTAGGTTAAAAGAAGAAATAAAGTTCAGTTCTTATTTTGATCCGATTGACACGTGCCTAGGCGTCCTGTGATCGTTGAGGAGATAGCAACGCCTTGTTTAGGCAGCTACTCCTTGTGCACTCTGTGCGTTGATTCTCTGAATCGTTTAATCTCCCTGGAACAGGGATCGTAAGCCCTCTGAGCTTGTTGACTCTTTGAGTCGGGTTCTTTGAACCAAACCATAGCTCTTTGAGCTGTTGACTCTTTGAGTCGGGTTCGTAGAACCAAAGTTGCTCGTTGAGCGTTAAAGTCTTTCTCTGACTTAAGGAGCTGTGTAGCTCCGCTACAATTGGTAGCACTCGTCGTCAATCTACGCCTGAGTCGTTACGACTGATCCTCTGTGAGGATGGAGCAATCCACAACCCTCTATGAGGCTCAAAAGGTCGCGCTTGATAAGCTGACTGCGGCCGTAGGCCCAGAGTATGTGTAGTTTCTAGCTGCACAAGGTCTCGATGTGCTCAATGCACGAGTCGAGATCTTCATGCAGTACTAAACGTCCCTTTTAAGGCAGGTTCAAAGCAAGTAGCTTCGGCTATGCCAACACGCCACATGGCGATGCCAGATGAAGAGGCTACCCCTCGTACCCTAAGGGTGGACGTTAAACATTAACCCGGGAAGTAGGGGAAAACTTGACCCTCTGGATCCGTGAAATTGAGGTGGCCATGAGCTCTGGCCTTATCTCACTTGAGTACCTGCGGGTCTCGCTGGCTATCTCCAAGCTCGATGGAAGAGCTAGAGAGTGGGATCTGACGTGTGGCACGTCGGTCGACTTGGAGTTTCCCACATGGTATTCGCTCTAGTAAGAACTTTTGCGAGTTTTCTCGCCGAACCACCAGGCTTATCGCGTGCGCTCACGCTTCTTGTCTACCCGTCAGGGTAAGAATGATCGAACGGACTGTGTCCAAGAGTTGAGAACTCTGATGGCTGCTATGCAGTCTGACCCTCTCCCTGAAACAGTATTTGTGACTGTCTTCATGGAAGGCTTCGCAATGGCGTTGCCAGGACCGAGGGTTTTCAGGTCCATCCCCACTCTTTTGAGGAAGCTCTTAGCATCGCTCAAAATGATGAGCACAACTTCAAGTCGGCCAGACTTGGTTGGAATGGGAACAACCCAAGCTTTGCGAGGGCAACATGTGCGAGCACCTCGGCTTACTGTAGGCCAGAACCGATGGATCTCAGCCATGCTGAAGATGAAGCGGGGCTTCATGTTGCAGAGCAACGATATGAAGTGAGATGCTGTTACATGTGCGGAAGCACTTAACTCTTGCGTACCACTTGTCCTTTGCGTAAGCAACGAACGACTCCTACGGGTCGAAACCCCAACCTCAACCAGAAACTGGTATGGCACGGGGAAACGTCGACACTTAGTAGACGCGGGGCGCCCTATTGGGGTAGAACTTGGTTCTGTAACTTCTCTACGAGGTAGAGTGAAACAGGGCTTATCCCTACTGAGATCTGTGCCCGTCAGCACAGAGCGTGGATACAAGCCTGGCTTGTTAGTCGCCAAGGCGAAAGTCAAAGGCCATGAGAAGTTTTGGTCGATCCCAATCGACTCCGGAGCATCATGCAATTATGCTCGACGTCGTTCCCTTGAGGGAAGTCAGCGATATGATTAAGTGCTCAAAGCACATGAAGGTGATCGATCACCGTTTGTTTGGCGACCGGTGGTTGCGTTACGGTGCCTAAAGTTCCGTTGAACTTTAATGTGAAGTTTTTGGACTTTGACAACATTGAACGCTGCCTTGTCCTCGATTCGGATTCGAGATATGATCTCGTCCTAGGTATGGCTTGGCTTGAACGCCATGAGACATGGATTGATTGGAGGTCTAAGACCTTAGGCGCCGCGCGCAATGTTCCTAGCGAAACTTTGGAGACTCATGAACCCACCTCCGCTAGGCAAGAAAAGCGCTATTGGCACGAGACATTGACGGAAGATGACAATGTGCTGGACATTGGTATGTCAGAGTTAGTAAACTACAATGTCGATAACATTAAAATTGAGCGGAGCTCTTTCGCCGTATGTGAAACAGTTTATATTCCGTTGAGTGATACTCGTTGTGATACTGGGTCACTGCATGCTACAGGCATGGTTGGCCTAGGGCCGAGACATCAAGAATGTAATTTCTCAATTGCTATTGGGCTAGTACGTGAGTATACACCGAGTGAGGGCTGCCGAGATGGCACCTCACTGAATGCCGGTAATGACGTTGTTGCCGAGAAGCGAGATTGTTCAGGAGCTAGGCCCGGATGATGTACGTGAAGTGGTACGTGCATATCAACTGGATGAAGTGTTCGAGTTACGCAACTCATCACCAGATATCGCATAAGACATGAGCTCTCGTCTAGAGCGTGCTAAGGTTAAAAAAAACCACGGGGCCCTAATGTCCTGGCCTCTAGGAGGCGTAAGGTTTCTTTGAGTAAACAATCCCAGCGTCGGGTGGCAACTGTTAAGCGCCCAACGTCTAAGAATTCACGAATTGATAACAGTAATAATACACTATATACACTTGTTAATGGATTGACTGGCCATGTTGATGGCAATATTAGTCTTGAGACTCTTCCATCCTTGGATAATTTCTTTGACCTAGATGAAATGTCTGACGGCGAATTTAGTCAAGCCTTAAAGGCAGGAGACTTATCCGAGTTATTGGTCATTCAGCCGGATTTTGAGTTGAACTCATCCTCGTTATTGGACGAGTCTGTCTTTGAGGACACAGAGACGGCATTGGATGCCCGTAGTGGATCTTTAATCCTTAAGGATCCTCTTGATCCGTTCTATCCTTTGGTAAAGGAATTTTAGGACGTGGTGTGTTACGACCCACCGTCCGTCTTACCTCCCGCTAGAGGTGTACGTCTTTAATTGACTTGGTTCCTGAAAATAAATACTGCGTAACACGGCAGTGGCCTTTACCGAAAGAACGATGTGACGTCATGGACGACTTCTTTCGTGAAAAGCACGCGTCAGAAATGGTACGTGAGAGCAAATATCCTCATTCCACACCGACCTTCTGTGTCAAAAAACCCAATGGGAATTGGCGCATTGTTCATGCTTACAATAAGCTTAATGCGGACACCATTCCGGCTCAGACACCAGTTTCGAGGAAGAACGTTCTTCAGAACAATATGGTGGGATGCACAATGTACAGTGCGCTCAACTTAGTCGATGATTATTACCAGGTGCTCATGCGAGAGAGCGATATTCCGCTGATAGCGGTCAGCACTCCAAGCAGTATCCTCTGGGAGTGGCTTGTAATGCCGCAAGGGTTATCAAATGCCCCGACTACAATCAAACTGTCTTGTGACACAATTGTTCAGACCCCACCGAGGTTATGCACAGACATATTTTGATGACATCTTTGTCTATATTCGTGCTATGAACGGTAGGTCAGATGTGGACAATCACATTGACCATTTACGAGCGGTGCTCGAGTGCATGCGCACGAATTAGTTGTACGCCAACGCGTTTAAGTGCATCTTTGGTGCAGAAGAGATTCCCTTTTTAGGGTGCTCTATTGTTAAGCGAGGCCTTAGAGCGGATCCCGCTAAGGTAAAAGCCATAGTCGATTGGCCGGTTCCAAAGAACCAAAACGACTTACGTAAGTGGCTTGGCCTTGCCAATTACTTGCACAAGTACAGTGCGAATTACGCAGATATGGCTCGGCCATTTTCCAATCCCCTTAAAAAGGATGTGCCGTGGTGCTGGGCTAGCACCGAGCATGATCCTTTTTTAAGCAGTAAAGGAGAGCCGTCTCATGCGCCAATCTTGGCTTTGTCCGATCCTGATCGATCTTTCAGTGTCGTCTGTGAAGCATCTGACTTTTCCATTGGCAGCGATCTGATACAGACATGTTTGATAGACGAAAGCACGTCATTGAGTTTGAGTCCCGACAGCTCAAAGCTGCTCGAAAAGAACTATCCTGTTCATGACAAAGAGCTACTTGCAATGCAGTATGCTCTCTTCAAATTCAGAGTTCATCTTCTTGGCTCTAAGCCGTATGTGATCTATACAGATCATGCGTCATTTCGCTCTGCGACCCAGTCGCATCACCTCTCTCAGAGAATGGCTCGTTGGATTTCCTTCTTTGCCGAGTACAACTTCGAGGTCAAGTATAAGACTGGCAAGCAGAATGCTTTGGCTGATGCGTT